CCTGGGGCAGTGGCTTTGGGCACCAGACCAGAAGGTCTAAACATCATCCTCCAGGAGTGAGGCTCCCCAGTGGGGCTCAGGCAGGAGAGCAATGTGGTCAGATTTGCATTCTAGAAAGTTCTCCAGGGCAGTGGGTGAGACAGACTACAACTGTTGGTCCAGGAATGGTAATGGGGATGTGCCTGGAATTTCACATGTGTGGAGGGCCTTCCTGGAACCCAGGATGAGGAAGACTGGCTAAAATGGGCCTTGCTGTGCCAAAGACCACATTCCCCTGCAACCTGGAGGCAGGTGGACCCACAGATGTGTACTGTTCAACCCAGATAGGACTCTAAAAATAAGAAAGGCAGAGGCGCTGCTCTGCACACACTTCCGTAGGCATGACTGCTTCCTGAAGGGACAGACAGACACTGGTGCCAGCGATGCCATCTGGAGAGGAGCTGGGAGGACAGAAGGAGGCCTGCTGTGTCCTGTCCCCTCCTACATAATGTGCACATTTCACTCAGTGCCTGTGACACCTTTCCAGCAGAACCCACACACGCAGGTCAGCAAGGCAGGGAGGCCGCCTCCCTGTTACAGATAATGAGACCCAGGCCCACCAGCTGGCATGTGGTAAAGCCAGGATTTGATCCCAGGTGTGTCAGAATCCAGTGCCTGCCTCCTCCAACTGCTCCACATGCCTCCTAGAGCTCGGCTATAGGGCTTTCCTCCAAAAGGATGGGGACCGAGCTCTCTGGCAAATAGGCTGCATGGATGCTGCTTCACCCCAGGGAGGCTCCCCAAAGAGGGGCCATTTGAGGTGGGCCTTAAAAAATGAGTAGGAGTTCTCCAGGTAGAGGCGGGACACTGCAGTGAAGGGGAGGCGGGAGAGCGCAGCTTGGGTCCAGGAAACACGCATGGAACCTCAAGGGGCACAGATGTACCCATGAGACCACTGGAGCAGCTCTTTCCAAACCCAAGGCTGGCAGGAGCCCGTGTGGGCAGCAGAGTTTAGGAGGATACTGGAGTGAAGCCAGGGCAGGAACAGCCGTGCTGGGGACAATGGGTGTTACTTTCTCAGAGAGATTGACTGGCTCCCCCAAGATCACACAGCAAACATGTCCATCTGACCCAGCACTCTCTCTGGCAGAGGGTCAGGGTGAAAGAGGGTCCAGATAGCCCTGCCCGGGGACGGTCTGCTCGGTGGGGGAAACAGACGTACCAGGAATCCCAGATGGAAGGCAAGGCCTGTGAGGCTCTTCCCTGATGCCTCCCAGGACAGGCATCTGTCACCCCCGCTAACTTGTGCTGCAGGAGAGGGAGCACTACATGGAGCGTAGGGCTGATTTCAGCCCCTGGACAATCCACTGGCTCTGCTCCTTCATCTGCAAGATGGGGTCATGGTGCCTGCCTCCCGGGGCTGTGGTGAGGGCAGCGCCGTGAGGGGTATGGCAGGGCACGGCCAAGTCCAAGTTGAGGAACATGCCCTGGAGAGCCTCCCCCTTTGTGGTCTCCAGGGACAGGGTGCCCTCTTAGTGTCCCGCTGTGCTCTGTGTCCTACACTTTACCTGGGCACCTTGAACTCATCATGCCATCCAGGCCCTGAAGCTGGTTATCCCCAGCTACTGCCAGTGACTTAGCTGTGGGACCCACTGTGTCCTCCCTCCTGGCACAGGAATAGGAAAGACCCTTATTTAGTTCTAAGCTGCACCTTAGTCTCTTTTTTATTTCAGGCTGCATTATGTTTTTTTTTAATCCATGCAGATTTATAGAGGGGCGAATTTTGCACTGCGTTTAGTCTCAGCTCAGCAGGATGCACGGGCACACCCAGGGTCTGGGCACAGAGTCTATGGTGGCAGCCACACTGAACAAGGAGTCTGGGGGCTCCTGGGCAGGGGAGCTCCAGTGGACAGTGGGATGGAGCCAGGAAGCTTTGAACAGCACCATGCAAGGGCAGACTAGAAGGGGCAGGTTGGCTGGATGCCAGGCGAAGTCACTGCAAGGGTTTGAGTGCAGAGAACACAGAACCAAAGCATTGTCCAACTCTAGCCCTGGCTTGTTCCTGGCTGTGTGGCCTTAGGCAAAGTCTTCCCCATGCTGGGTCTCAGTTTCCTGCTCTGTAAGACAAGATGGCAACACCTGCCTCACAGGGCTGCCATGGTGATTAAGACTGAGTGTGGGACCACAAAGAGCCCCCGTAAGAGATCCGGGATGGGCCTGGGTCCTCTGTGTGTGTTGTGGTAGCTAGAAGGCCAGGTCTGAGTGAGAGGTCCAGGGTAGAGACACCCAGGGGGACATGGCCCTGAGGAGGCCTAGCTGGGCCCGAGCATGGGGTTGGGGGAGGTAAGGCCCAATTTTATCAGACTACTAAAGGGAGAAGTCTCAGGCACGTGAATCCAGGGCTCAGGACAGCCAGGTGCCTCCAAGAGACCAGCCAGCTGGGCAGCTCCTGGTGAGCCTCAGATGACAGGGACCGGAACTGCAGCTATGGCTGGGGCTACCAGGAGCTCCGAAGACCTGGCCCCCTAAGACTTTGGAATGGGCCACTCCCCCTCTCCTGGGACCCCAGCTGCCCCCAGGTCATCACTCTGACATCGAAACCCCCTTCCCCCCACCACACACACACACACACACACACACACACACACACACACACACACACAGCAGGAAGTGCTTAAGAGACCAATTTTCAGACTGCTCTGGTTTCCTGCCTGGAGCAAGACCCTGGCAGGAGCGCACTGAGGGCTGGCCACTCTCACTGCAGCTGGCGAATTAGCAGAGGGGCTGTCTCTGCTCAGGGCAGTCTGGAAGTGACCCAGGGAAGCCGGTCATTTACTACTGGACCCAGCAGACAAGGTCGCCAACTCCCAGGCATGCCCAAGGAAGGGGAGACCAGCTCTGCAGGGGCCAGGAAAGTCTTCCTGGAACAGGGGATTGCCCCCAATGATGAGTGGAAGGGCGTTGCAAGCAAAGGGAGCAGCACAAGCAAAGGCATGAAAATGGGAAAGAAAGCAGAGAGCTTAGGGAGACAAGGGACACCCGCAACCAAATGGCAGAGGCTGGCCCTGGCCACAGAGGACCCCAAGCTGGGCCAGGGAGTGCAGCTACAGCAGTGGCACCACTGGGGATGACGGGGCAAACCCAGTAAGGACGTGAGAGAGACCAGGGGTGGGGCTGAGGCTGAGGCTGAGCTGCCCCGCTGCTCACTAGCTCTGTGCATGCTGCCTCCTCCCCTCCTTTGCCGGGTTGTTGTCTCTGCCACAGTACCCCACACACATGCACACATGTGCACACACACTTGCTATGTCCAAACCCCAGTGTTACTTTCTCAAGATAGCACTCCCTAATCTTTTCCAGTGCTCCCCAAAGCCGACCATGCCCTCCCTCTGCTTGGAACTGGCAGAGCCCTTTGCCTGCCCAGCCCTCACTCTCCACACTGTATTGTGCACATTTGCACATGGTTCACCTTTCCTCAGTTTGACTCAGGGCACACTGGTCAGCACATGCTCCATGCCACGTCGTCCAAGCACTGGGGACGTGGGGGTCAGACCCTTTTCCTGAATCAACTGGAGGACCTGTGTAGACCACACATTGACAATACGTTTATCATGTGGGACAATTAGAATATGTGCTGGGCACAAAGACAGACAGCCTGACTGGGAAGTGGAGAAGCCTGGGGGGCTTCATGGAAGAGGGGGTAACTGAGCTGAAGATGATGCACAGAGGCGGGCAGTGTGTACAAAGGCTTGGGAGAGTGGAGCTGCCTAGAACATTTGATGAAGTGGGTGGGGGCATGAGGGGACAGTGGCAGGAGGAGGACGGGGTTCAGCAGAGAGCAGGTGGACCAGGTCCACAACACGACCCCTCCTCACTGGATTCCTCTACACCCCCACAGAGGTGGAGTTCAGTGAAGCTTTGTTAGGTGGGTGGGGCATCCCAGTGGGGCCACTGTACGGTGGTCATTGTCCCCCTGCAGACACCACAGAGCCCCTAGGACCCCTGAGATGCCCCAGATCTCAGGACTCACCCTTGTGTTTTTTGGCTTCCCTCAGCCTTGACGTTTGCATTCCCACAGCAATGCAGGGAGTTGAAAGAGCCTTCAGGACGCTTCCAGTTATGTCTCAGTTCGTTTGGGCTGCTCTGACAAAGTACCACAGACTGGATGGCTTATATACACAACAAATTTACTCCTCACAGTTCTGGAGGCCAGAAGTCCGAGATCAGGGCCAGCATTGTCAGGCTCTGGTGCGGGCCCTCTTCCAGGTTGCAGACAGCCGCCTTCTCCTTGTGTGTCCTCACATGGCAGAAGGGAGCTCTCTGGGGTCCCTTTATAAGGGCACTAATCCCATTCATGTGGGCTGTACACTCATGTCCTCATCACCTCCCAAAGTCTCCACCTCCTAATACATCACCTTTGGGGTTAGGTCTCAATATACAAATTTGGGGGGACAAAAACATTCAGTCTGTAACAAATTACAAGTGACAGAAACTCAATTCAAGCTGGCTTGAGGGAAGAAAATGTACTCGCAGACAGAGAGTGCAGGGTGGTCTCAGCTTCAGGCCCTCCGCCCTTTCTCTCTGTTTCTCAGCTCTGCTTTCCTCTCTGTTACCTCGTTCTCAAGTCACGTGGTGCCCCAGGAGCTCCAGGCTTAGCCCCATCAGAAGAAAAGAGCCCCCTTTTCCCACCACTTTCACAGTCCCAGGCATGACACTCATTCCTGAACCAATCACCCGAGCTGAGGGAATGCAGTCACGCGCCCAAGCCCCATGGGTATAGATGGGGGTGGTTTTGGAGAAGAAATGGGCTCTGTTGTCAAAGGTGGGGATCTGGGCAGCAAGTAACATCCAGATGCCCCACCCCGAATTTTCATGAAATAGACCCAGACCACAGGCTCAGGATAGGCTTTGTTTCTTGTCACTCAGCAGTGTCTCTGGGTCATAACACAGAGGAAATGCCTTTGCCGTGTGTAATCGCCTCATTCACTCTCTCTCTCTCTCTCTCTCTCTCTCTCGTTTTCCAGGGACCACTGGGTCTGGATGGCAAGCCCGTAAGTGATAACAGGGCAGTTCTGAGTGTCCTGGGATGGGGCTGCCACTGTGGGGTTGGGAGTGACTATGGGGCGCCAAAGGGAAGGGGCCACTGAGAACCTGACTCAGCTCAAAGAGAAGCCATTTGGGCACCAGACTTGAGTTCAAATCCAGTTCCACGACCTACTGTGCAACCTTGGAGAGACCTCTTCACCTCCCAACCCTGAGGCTTCTCATCTGTCAAAAGGGCATATTAGCCCTCCCCACAGTGATACTGAGGATGTGGAGGACTGTGGACAGCACTGTCCCTGGCATCCAGTCAGCCCCCAAAACATACAAGCCCCTCCCAGCAGACCCCAGGCACAGAACATCCCCCATACAGTCTCAATACTTCTGTGGTGAGCATCAGGCTGAGGCGTTCTCAACACCTGGGCCAGGAGCCTGCGATCCACCGGCGTCCTCAGCAGAATAAGATATACAGGGAGACTGCATGATTAAACAAATAATTGGATGGGGACAGATAAATGGATAGAAGGAAGGAAGGAAGGAAGGAAGGAAGGAGAAGAAGGGAGGGAGGGAGGAAGGAAGGAAGGGGAAAGACAAGTGAATGCATAGATGGACAGATGGATGATGGATGGGTAGGTGGGTGAAAGGAAGGACAAATGGATTGATGGGTGGATAATGGATAGATGAATGGAACAAAGGAGGGATGGCTAGCTGAGTGGCTAGATGAATAGATCAATAGTTGGACGGATGGAGGGCACAATGGATTGATGAATGGCTGGACATGAATCAATAACTTTACAAATAGTTGGATGCAGTAAAGAGTAAGTGAGTCAGTGGGTGGAGAAATGCATAATGGTTGAGCAGATAAGTGAATGAAAAAATCAATAAGCTAACAAATGAAGAGTTGAAAGATGGTGTGTCCATTATTAATGAATGGAGGAAATAACCAACTACCTAGATGGACAAGTTGTTGAATGAATGAACAAGCAAATCCATTACTAGGCTGAAGGGATGATGAATGGTTGAAGGAGGGATGGAGGCAGGCCCTGACCAAGAGTGCCGGCCACCAGCTGGCTGGCCCCAGTCTGGCCCCCACCCCAGGGACTCTTGAGCCCCACAATGTAGCCTTGTGGCCTGACATTTTCCCTAAAAGGCCCAATAACTTGGCGGGACTGAAAGAGAAACATTTCCCTGCAGCCAGAGAGTGATGGCAGCCACTACAGCCTGCATGGAGCCACCCAGACTCCACCCGCAGTGGCCTCCTCACTGGCACCTGGGCACAGCGGGTGCTGAACAGGAAGGGCTCTGCTCTCTGAGCGGGGAGTGACTAGCACATGTGCCCCTGTCCAGAGAGGATGCCAGTGACCCCTCCCAACATCCCCCCTCCCTGTGTCCCTCATGCTGACGGTTGAGGTGTGGTGCTTCTTTGGGGCCAGCACAGGTACCCTTGTTAAAGGCTGACAGGCTTGTGTGTTTTTCCACGCGGCTGCCCACAGCTCTGCTCAGCTTCATGGGCCCTTCTGCCCTCAAAACCTTGGGGAAGTGGAAAGGGAGAAGCCTAGTCCTCCTCACTCACTCCTGTTCTTTCTCCATCTTCCTTCTCCAGGGACTTCCAGGCTCCAAGGGGGAAAAGGTAAGCAATGCTGGAGGCTGTCCAGAAGCAGTAGGCTGAGGAAGGATGCCAGACACCTGCTTCCAAACACCAGTTCCAAAGTGTGACTTTGGGAACGTCATATCCCCTCCGAAAGCCTTGGTCACCTCATCTGTAAAGTGGGGCGAGTAGTGCCCTCCTCCTAAAATGGTTACAAGTTGAAGTGCCCAGAGGGTTGAGTTCTGCTGGCAGCGGAGTATAACAAACTCAGAGCAGTCTGCCCAAAATGACAGTTCCCAAAGTAGTTCATCATGAAAAGGGGGCAGGGGTGCCAGGAGAGCCCAAGGGATTGAACACTGACTATTGATGGCACTTCTTGTGGGGAAGACACCCCTGCCAGAAAAACAGCTGCCCCTGTAATCTTCACAGTCCCTTGTGACAAGGGCTTTGCTGGCATTTGGTACTAAATGTCACAGCTACAGTCCTGCACGGCTGGGACCTCCGAGTGCCTCCGAGGGGAGCAGGAGAGAAGGGAGATGCGTGTGTCCCATGGTGGGATCAGGGGATGGAGGGACCAGGGAAGATGTAGGTGTAGCAGGACAGACTGGGAGCTTCCAGGGAAGAACTGGGCCACACACCTCCTACCCCACTGGGGTCACTTAGTAAAGGGCAGCCAGTGTCCCCATCCACTATCAGGGCAGAGCAAGGTGCAGATTCTGCTGTTCAGAGGCTCAGGTTTGCATTCCAAAGGGCCTCAGTTTCTCCATCTGTAAATGGAAACTGACCTCACAGACCCCTGGGGAAGACTGCCCAAGGTGATGGTCTGTGTTCTTTGCAGATGATGAGACCCTCATGCAGCTGGCAGGTGCAGTGACTGCCTTCCCGCTGGTTCTGGCTGATATCATCAAGTCACAGAACTGATAAAGGCAGGAGCTTTGAAACCAGAAAGAAATTAGTGTCTTGGTATTTATTGCTGCATAACATACTGCCCCCAAACTTGGTGACTTCAAACAATTAATCACCTAATTGTCATCCCTCACTGTTATGAGGTTCAGGGAATCCAAGAGGACACAGTGAAGGTGGCTTGTCTCCGCTCCACTGTGTCTGGGGCTGGCGATGGGTAACAGACCACCAGTTCCAAGCCCTGAATCTGCTAGCTGTGTGGCCTTGGGCAGATTACTCAGCCTCCCTGTGTCTCTATTTCCTCATTGGAATAATAGAGCCTGCATGTGATTTTCGATAGAATGAAATGAGACCAAGTATGTGAAGCTCTGAGCACACAGTAAATGCTCAATATATGTGAAGAGGTAATAAAAAACAGTGGTGACATACCTCCTTGTTTTTTGTTCCTAGGGTGCACCAGGAGACTTTGGCCCCCGGGTAAGAACTGAGCAAGATCCCCTCACCCACCTACATGGTTTGTTTTATATTATAAGGCATGTCCCTAGCCTATCACGGAAGGTGAGCGGGTAGCCCCTCCCGCTCGCAGTCAGTCCTGCTGGGTGGTTTCACTTAAATGGCTGCTGCTGAGTGGAAGTCTCACGCACCCTGGTCTGGCACAGGCTGGGCATCTATAGCACATGTGTCACTGTGGATGGGAGGACAGTGGGCCTGGCGCTGGCCCAAGACCAGAGACTGACCTTCCTGAGGGCAGCTGGCACCCCAGGAAGAGGGGAAGGCTGTTGGATCAGCAGCCCTGAGCCCAAGCTCAGCTCTGCCACTTACCAGCCAAGTGACCTCAAGTGAGTCAATTTCCCCTCTAAGATTCGGTTTCTCCAACTGTGAGTGGGGGGTGACAGCCTCTACCCCAAGTTGCTGTGCTGAAGATTCATTGCAATCATAAAAGTGGTTCCTCAGCGTCCCACATGGGAACAGTAGATGGGACCCTCAGCTGGCCCACCCCAGCCCTCGGTGCTCTCTGGTCACTGGGACTCAGAAGTGCCTCATGCAGAACAGGATCTTCTCAACAGAAGCTGAAGCACAGTGGAGACCCCAGGTGGGACGGGCCTCACAAAGGCGGGTCTTGGCAGAGGGCCACTTAAGCAGCCTGGGTGGGCAGCAGCAGTGACCTGACTGCAGAGGCTGAGAGCTGGGCATCAGCTGCCCAGAGGAAAAACAACTGGGAGTTTTTAAGAAGGTTGTGGGGTGGAAACTGTAGCCAGGAGGTCGCTCACCCACAGCAAGCTTCTTCCCAGGCTGGAGGCGGGAGTGGAATGAAGGGTGTATGAGAGGAGGGCACTGCATCTAGGGGAGTGAAAGGAAAAGGGGGCTGCATGCAGAGAACGTGGGCTGGGGTTTTTTAGCCAGGCTCTGCTGGGTGCCGGTCCCAGCTCTGCAACTCTCCTGACTCTGAGCCTGACTTGTGAAATGAGGCCAGCTGGGCCCTCGTCATGGGTGGTCCTGAGCCCTGAGTGGGGAGGGGAGAGGAGGGAAAGGGGGTGGCCAGGCTGAATTCCCCCACGCCCAAGACACAGCTGTTCTGTGCTGAGCCTTTGATAGGAGGGCAAGTGAAGGAGGGCGCATAAAGCCAGTGAGATGTCCCTGAAGTCCAAGAAAGGGTGCCCTGGCGCTTGGTGTTGAGCTGGTGGCTGCTGAGAAACACTCCTTCTGCCTCCTTTCTGTTGGATGTGGAAGCTGATCTTCCCAACAGGCGCGCCCACTCCTCAGCCTGGGAGTCATGGAGGAGCAGATCCCTCCCCAAGCCCCGCCCCTCTTCATGGGTAGACTCCCTGTTGTCCCAATGGTCTAACCCAGGGGTCGACAAACTTTTGAGATGGAAGAGCCTCCAGGGGTCGGCAAACTGCGGCTCGCGTGCCACATGCAGCTCTTTGGGCATGTACATGTGGCTGTGACGTAAAATTGAAAATGAAAATAAAACTATCATAGTTTCATTTATAATATTACTTTAAATTTTCCGTATTTGTAAAAATATATTTATGGCTGTCGAATAATTTTTAAATTGTGAGGGACAGGGTTGGCTCTTCCAGGGATCGGCAAACCTTTGAGACAGAACGTACCCGAAGAGCTGCATGTGGCTCATGAGCCGCAGTTTGCCGACCCTGGTCTAACCTGTGAAACAACCTTCACCCCTGAGAGTGGCTCAGACAACGTGTCACTATCTCTTATGACCCCCTGGGTTCGCTGTGACTCTCCTGTTGCAGGCAGAGGCAGTGGGGCTTGGAGTCTGAGGTGATGGCAGCCTCTGGGAGCTCTGCTGGGGAGGATTTCTGTGTGGCTGGGACTTCTCCCAGCATGGCGGTGTGCTTCCCAGAGGGATCTCCAAGAAGAGCATTCCAAGAGGCCGGAAGCCAGGACTGCCAGGCCCATTAAAAGCTATATCCAGAATGGACACAAGATCACTTCCCCTGCATTCTATTGGTCACATCTGTCACAGGGCCCACCCAGGGTCAAGGGGGGTGGGAAGAACTAGACCCCAGCTCTTGATGGGGAGTGTCAAGGCCACACTGCAGAGGCACCTTTGATGAAAACGTGAGCATAACATAGTGGCCATCGTCAGAGAACATGATCTGCCACTCACAGTCACCAAACTGCCTTTCTCTGGGCTGGGGTAGGTGGCTTTGCCTCCAGAAGTGGCCTTGTGGTTTTCTACATCACCTACTGCCTGTCTGACTACATGACCTATTTGCTATAGATGGTTTTCCCACGGCTCAATCCGGGCTTGATAAGTAGAGATCATCCTTTGAACAATCGCCGCATTCTCAAGGTAGACTGGCGAGTGGTGTATCCATGCCTGCTGGTTGGTGTGTTCCCCTCCACTCACCCCGAATTTCCAGGGTTTGACCTCAGCCATCCGATCCCGGTGGGAGGAGGAGGCAGCTGGCCGGCCTCATTTCCTGAGTAGCGCAGGGGAAGAACTTAAGAACCTCTCCTAGGACCTGCTCAAGTGTCTAATCCCATTTTCTGCCTTGATAAGTAGAGTCCAAGCCAGTGATTTCCAGCCTGGGCCCCTGGGCTGTGAAAAGAGCAACAGAGGACAGGGTATCTTCAAAGTCTTCCTGATTCAGCATAAAATGAAACAGGAATTACCCACCAACATCACCACCCATGGCTGGGTGACCTAACCAAACACAGTTTACTTTGGACTGGAGTTCCATCCTCTTGGTCAGGACCTGGCCGTGTCAGACTGATAAGATCTGCACTGAGAGCTTCCGCTGGGTTTTTCATTGGAAAACTGGTGAGCTAAGTCTTAGGAGCATTTGGCTGGAGAGCTGAACTCTTTCCCATCGGGGGCCCATGAATGAACAAAGTCTCTGAAAGAGACTATGTGCCTCAGTGGCCAGAGGAGGCACTGCCTTTCCTAGCTCTGTAACCCTGAGTAAATGATTACCCTCTCTGACCCCAGTCACTCCTTCTGTAAAGTGGGACAAGAGCAGTGCCTTGGCCAGATGCTCACAGGATTGGGTGAGATAACCTCCAGGACATCCTGGCTCACCAGCACTGGGCACACGGCAGCTCCGCAAAAGGCCTCTTCCTTTCCTGGTTACAGGAAGGTTGGGCACTGCAGGAACTGTGACCTTGACCCCAAACTCATTCCCAAATGGCATACCCCATTCCTGTGCCCTGTGCCAGTGCCTGAGCAGGCCCTGCTGGGGCAGTAGGAAGTGCTGGTGGCACTGTGGTCTTCCCTCCTTGCAGGTGGGGCCACAAGATGAAGACTCTGGCTGCCTGAGGTCTGACCTGGTACTAACATTGGCCTGAGAGTTGGTGGGGGCTGGGAGAGGGGCAGGGCGCTGCATGAGAGAAACTATGCAGCCCTCTGTCGCCCTTTTGTGAGAGTGTGTGTGTGTGTGTGTGTGTGTGTGTGTAGATTCTCATGCAGTTATAATAAATAATACCCCATGTACCTATCATCCAGCTTCCCCAGTGGTGACATTTTGCAGCATCTAGTACAATCTCCTAAACGGGAAATTGATACAATACACCAACCTTATTCAGACTTGACCTGTTGTACTCATTTTTGTGTCTGTTTAGTTCCACGTACTTTTATCACCCTCATAGATTCATGCAACCACCACACAAGATCCCTCATGCTACCCTTTTATAGCTATAGTCATCCCCCTCCCTGCCCCCATCCTGAACCCTTGGCCACCACCAATCTCTGCTCCCTCTCTATAATTTTACCACTTCAAGAATGTTACATAGGGGCCAGCCGAGTGGCTCCGTTGATTAAGAGTTGGCTTAAGAGTGTGAGCTCTGAGCAACAGGGCCGCCGGTTCAATTTCCAACTGGGTCAGTGATGCTGCGCCCAAGCTGAGCTGCCACTGAGTTGCCAACAGGTGGCAGGATGGCTCAGCTGGTGAGAGCACGTGCTCCTAACAACAAGACTGCCTGTTTGATGGTGGGCTACGCCCGCCCAAAACTAAGACTGAACTCGGCACCTTGAGCTGAGCTGCCACCCGGATGATTCAGTGAGCTCTTAACAACAAGGTTGCTGGTTCGACTCCCGCATGGGATGGTGGCTACGCCCACCTGCAACTAAGATTGTAACACAGCACCTTGAGCTTAGAGGCTATGAGCTGCTGACGGGCAGCCAGATGGCGACTGGTGCCCTCCACAACTAAGATTGAAGAACAACAGCTTGGCTGGTCCCCCTCCCCAATCCCCCAAAACTGTTCCCCTCCCTCAATTCCCCAATTTATTAAAAAAAATAAAATAAAATAAAATTATATATATATATATATATATAATGAATGTTACATAGATGCAATCACACAATATGTGACCTTTTGAGACTGGCTTTTTTCCTCAGCATAATTCCCATGAGATTGATCCAAATGGCTTCGTGTCAGTACTTTGTTCCTGTTTGTTTACTGCTGAGCATTGTTCCATGGTGGATGTACCCCAGTTAGTTAACCATTTGCCACTGGAGGACGTCTAGGTTGTTTCCAGTTTGGGGTTCTTACAAATAAGGCTGCTATAAACATTCGTGTACAGGTTTTTGTGCAAGCATAAGTCCTCATTTCTTGGGAGCAAATGCCCCAGAGCGCATGCACCTCCATCACTTAAGGAAGCAGGAGTTGACCAACCGGGAGGGTCTTTCAGGAGGCATGAGCCCCCTTTCCAGAGGAAGGGGGCTGGTTGGGCACACGTGCTTTCTCCCACACCCAGCGTGTGTCATCTCTCACCTAAGCAGTGTAGGCGGGGAGATGGCACATTCCTTGGAGTGCAAAAGGTCCTGTGGCCTCTTATGCCGAGATATAAGGACCTGTCCCTTCACGTGGCCACCAAGAAGTCACAAGAAGCCCAATAACAAAGCCCTTTCCTCTGAGCCTGCCGAGGGCTGGGGAAGGGGAAGGCATTGGGCAGCCTATCTAAGGAGGCCTCTCTCTAAAGGCGAGAACCCCTTTTCCTCACCCTAGAGTCATGCCAGGCCCCATCTCTTTCAGGGAGACCAAGGGCAAGATGGAGTGGCTGGGCCTCCAGGGCCCCCTGGACCTCCTGGGGCCCGGGGCCCTCCTGGCGACACTGGGAAAGATGGCCCCAGGGGAGCACCAGGCCCAGTGGTAAGAGGGCATGGAGCTGGACCACCCAGGACCTGGTCCTATACCTATCAAAACCCTAAACCCTGATCCCAGAACCAACCCCAACCCCAGCCTTATCCCCAGCCCAGACCCAGACTTAAGACCCCAGACCCAACCCAGACCCTTACCCTAGTGAGACCTTAAACTTAACACTAATTGGGTCCCTGGCTCCAATTTAGACCTTGACCCCAAACTGGACCAAATCCTGATCCAGACCCCAATCAGACTATTATCCAGACCCTAACTCTCACTCCTACAGATTCTGACCCTGACTCCAAACCCACCTCTTACCCCTACACTGTAACTTAAATAGAACCATAGACCCTAACTGACCTTGGTTGCAATCTCAGTCCAGTTCTAACCCTGACTGATCCCCCCATATGTGAGCTCTTTCTCTGCAAATCTTTACCAACCCCTGACTTCT